GAGTAAAAAAGCATATGCTATGCTTTCCAAACTGGTACGAGGCCTTCCGACGGTTTGTAGGGATTGTTCTGGGGAAAGAAATGATTCGAACAAGAAAAATTATAAAAGGTTTGCTATATATTTGTTTACACTTTCTGATATTTGATGTTTGTGAAAAATTTGCATCAAACTTCGCAATTCCAGCGGTTTAGGAATGATTTTCATATTTATATCAGGGGAAAGGAATGTTGATAAGACAGCTTAATAATATGACGTACCTTCGCCTCTGCTTCAGTTACAAGTCTGTGTTGGGTATGGTGTAATTTAGCCATTTGTTCCAGATTTCAGGACAAATTTAATTTGTAAGAACTTTATTTCATGACACACGGAAATACGCTGTGCTTGTTTTTCTTCCGTAGTCTCGGTTCTCAGTTATAGCCAGCATATATTTGAGCGTTGATACATGTGCTGCGTGCTGGTATGAATGCCAAGCGTTGCTCTCTTGTTATTCCGAACAACGTTTTTGTAATTCAGGTATTTCTGAAGGTATGGTTCACTTCGAAAAATAATTTTGTTCCACTACGATTCTCACACGACAACACTTTATTTCGCTGTGCTCATCTCCATGTATGTGCAATTATTGGAATCCTGCTCTCTTGTTATTTCAAACAATTATTTTCATAATTTAGGAGTGAAACTTGGTCGTGGAGCTTTCCCTGACTCTCTCTTGATCTGTACTATTCTTGGAATGTTTGGAGCCTGCGGAGGGGGGTTCGTCAAAAATGCTGCAACGTTTGTGAGGAAACAATGGAATCATGAGACCGTGAAATCTATTCATTTGGCGACGTGAGTATTGATTTGTTACAAATCGAGACATAAAAATTACGGTAATTATTACGGTAGTTAGTAGCAGGAATAAAGATTTTGAAATCTTTAGAGCAGACAGACAATCAAGTTTACAATTCCAAAAGAGTTTAAATATAGATTTCACCATGAAACAAAATTCAATGTTTTGACTCCAATTTCTAAATATCACTAAAATAATAAAAGTTAATAAGATTCTATGAGCTAGCGCTACTAAAATTTGTGGTAACTCTGGCTCCATCTAACCCGGTAGGCTTTGCTTCAATGGCTCCGACTCCAGCCCTGATAGTGGCATTCATACATTTTCTAAAATGAAAGAACCCATTGTTAGTGAGCTTGATACATAAGGGAACCCGTTCTAGAATTCTGAATCGCTCTTTGGGAGCGCGAAATGGTTTTCTAAGATGAGGGAACCAGTTTGACACAAAAGAGAACCCGTTCTTACAATTTTGAATTTAGTTACTGGCAATTTACCATAATATCCTATTTTTTTCAGAGTAACAAAGCTCAGCCTTCTGTTCTCTCTACTTTACAATCTACAACTTCTAGGAATCCTGCCGATCTCATTCAACACTGTTGTTCTTCTACAACTAACAGTGATGTTCGTGATATCGGTAAGACATAATAGATTATAGGCAATTAGCCCATGATTTAATATGGCCTGCTGAACTTGAGTGAAATAGTTTAACACTTTGTGTTTTTACCTTTTTGCGTTCTAATACGGCCAGGCCAATTGGATACTCCCGTAATGTGTACCAGGTTAAGGGTTATTCTCTACAGCAGGCCTGCCTAATGTCTTTTATGGTTGCGATCCACTTTCACATTAGAAAGTTTTTTGTAGGTTGCAAACTCAAATACCAGCCAAGTTTTGATTTACCTTGGAAATAAAATAGTTTATTTACATAATGAATCAAATCCAAAAATACTGAGTAGAGCAGGCAAAATATTTGAATATCGTATTGATATTAAAATATTAGAGCTGCAGCTTACTATTCGAATATCTGGTAACACATTACCTGGGCATGTCACTGAAACAAATTCTTGCCTTGTATTTGCACCTATGTATTTGTATGTATTTATTCCCTCCCATTAAATAGTCTTCCCATTAAAAAAAATTACAAACTTATTTATAGCGCTGGCCTTGGAATTCCCTGCAGGATTCGAACCTATGAACTCATGCAGGTTACTTAGAGGTTAGATAGCAGGCATTTCAAGTCCTATGACACGTTTAGACCAACTCTACATATAAGAAGTTTGACAAATTCTCGTTATTTCAGGCTTCCACCAAGTTTGGCGTCAACTTTGATCCGTTCCATCGAATTGAGAAGATAATCACAAGTTGTGTGATAGATTATTCTGCGTATGGGGGAGCTGAGGAGGAAAAATCCCCTCAGAAAAAAGCCGGGGAGGAAAAATCCCCTGAGAAGAAAAAAGATTCTTTGAAAAAGAAAGAATAAGTCCATAGGTTTTCAAATTCAATTTACTTTCTGTAATACATCGGATTATCTGTTTAATTTGAATCAGGGTATTTTTCCCGATGTTGACACTCTTATTTCCCTCATTCAACGTTAATTTTAACAGTTTTTATAATTCTGTATTACAAATCCCCACGCATTGCATTATATATTATTATAACGCAGCTAAAAATTTAACTTAGTCTTCCCTCTCTCAATGTTAATTTTGTTGATTTATTCCATTTTTTAAAACAAATATTTTTCATTTAAATGAGTTTAAATTGAACAATGCAATAATCTTGTGAAAAACTAGTCATTCGGGAACCACTGGCATATATTACAATCAATTGTTTCAAATACTTTAGTGCAGCGTTTCTCAAACTGTGTTCTGTTCCACATGCTTTCTGAAATTGTTCTGCAGAACAGGGACGGTCGCCATGACGATCTCGGCCTTACTTCGGCGATAAATTTTTCTCCCGACTGGTGACAAACAGTTGAACAGACCTTGCTATCTGGGAAGTCCGGGAAGATATGCATTTTACCATATTCAATCATCGTCTAATAGCTGTAATAAGCCTATGCTGATTATTGAGTCGAAATAAACTTATACTAGTCTCGTAGTGGCCAGTCTTTGAAAGAAAGTAAACATGAGGAACCCGATACCCGAATCCATGTTCGTGCATAGACTGTCAAGGGCTGTTGGTATTTTAATCAGGCTCAAAAATTATGTGCCATTGAGTGTTTTACGAACTGTTTATTTTGCAATTTTTCATTCTTCCATTCAAAATGGTATTGTCTTATGGGGTTCAGCATCAAAACCGCGCTGTCAGGACTATATCAAATGTGCCGTTGCGAACTAGACTTAGTCCACTATTTCGAAACTGAATGACTTATTTCACTATGAAATAGGGAAAATCCTGCATAAATTCTTCTCAGCGAGTTTACTTGAATCGTTTGCGTCAAATTTCACCGATTGTAGTAGCTAATATTCGTATATTACACGATCCTCTTTATAAAATTCATATTTTATTCCAAGAGCTGACACAAAATTCTCCCAAGAATCAATCAAGCTCACTGGTCCAAAAATTTGGAATCAAATTCCTGAATCTATTAGATTGGCTTCCTATGTGAAATTTAAAAAAAGTTACCTAAATTTTCTTGTTAAGGATTACTAGAGTATAGTTATAATATTCAATAGTGATTAAAACATGTAACTGTCCATCATAAATGGTCACATTGCCACTGTTTGCTTACTATCTTTCAATTTTCAAACTAATTTTAAATAATTTTCTACAATTCACTTATTTTTTCTGGCTATTATTATCTGTATTGAGAGTATACCTGGTTTAAATATTTGGTAGATAACTAGTCGACGGTTACTTTATATTTTGTTCTCAATAATTATTTATCTAGAATGGGTGGTGGCTGACTTTGATGACCTTAGGTCGTATCCAGTAGTGGGGTTCAGCTGGTTCGCAACGGTTCTATAGAACCGTCTCACGGGATTTTATGAAAACAGCGAACCTGTTAGCATTACTGGTTACCCTCAATGACTTTTTGTAACAGAACCCGGTGAAAAATATGACTTTTGTGATAGAACCGGCTGACAAAAAAATTGAATCCCACCACTGGTCGTATCGCCATCTCCCAGTCTTCTCTGACTGCAACTCACAAGGCCTGCTTGAAATTGTGGCCCTCCAACTTTGCAAAGCTTAGACTAGCTTGAAGTACAAAATCGAAAGTAGTTTGGTGTTTTGCGCTAGCATAAATGTAAACGAAGTTAATTTTTTAACTTGAAATATATTATGATTTTAGAGTGTAACTTGTGCAATATGAAACTAATGAATCATGGGAAATTGAAGAATCTAGAACAGAATTGTTGCAAAAGCAGGTTATACATATTTATGCTTCATGAATATCCATGTCCTCGTAAATTCTCTGACTCCAGCATCAAAACACTTGTTAGTACACGGTACCATGTTAGGGTAAATACTACAGGTTTCTTCCTGCCAAAAAGTGTCATTATTTTGTTACTTGTACACTTGATGGTATATATGCACACAATCAAATGTTCGATGCCCTTTACTATAGCCTACTCTTTTTACGGTATCTCGCCAAGACAACACTGTGAGACTGTCTGGTATCACACTTTTATTTTCATGTTAAGTAGACTGTGGTGCATGGAATCGACTTTCTTTTGTTTAAAGAGTGATTGTTTGGTCGCTTTGGCGTACCTATTGCTATTCATTTTATTTATTCAATAACATATTTAGTTCGATTTTATTATATTCATTGGGTTTCTGTTAGATTTCCCCAAGGGTGGAGTCGCTCGATAACCAGTATTGGTTTTCGACATCTCCTTTCACCCTGGAATGCGACTTTTTATATTTCCTTCAATTTGTGTATGTATAGTTTGTACTTTCAGCATGTTGAAGAAATAAATTACTGATTACTATATTTACTAACTCATTCCATTATTTTTAGCTTTGCCGCAAATTGAAAATGTTTCATCTCAAAGAAGTGGATCCGACATTCTTTTGACTTGGAATGCAGTATCTGACAGTAACGTTCTATACAACATAGAAATCTTCTGTGATGATGTGAAACTTGGAGAGACTCGCACTGCAGAAGTTCCTCAGTATAGAATGAAGTCACCTACACTTGGTAAAACATATCGTTTCCAAGTCTGGGCCAAGGATGAATGGGAAACTCTGGCATCAAAACGCAGTCAAAGAATGTTATAAAAGGTATATTTCCAGGATTATGTAGGTTTTAATTTTTTTGTCATGGACTTCTGTGAATAATACACATACGAGTATACATAAGAGCAACCACTGGCAGTCAGAATCATATTGTGGTGACGATAGACTGCCCAACCCATTGTAACAATTTATTCCAGTTTTGTCATGGATTATATCTTAATCGACTAGCACAGGGGTGTGCAAAATGTGGCCCGTGACCCAAGAAACGAGGTTTCGTTTATCTGGTACGTGCGGGCATTCCAATCTCTTTGCGCCTCAAAGTCTATACTGTACCAGTACCTGGCTGCCACTGCCATATTAGCAACACTAGCTAGCAGAATTCTGTTGCCAAATACACACTGCTGAGAAAACGTAGCAAAGGCACGGCCTGCAGCCTTACCAAGGTACTTGTATCTGGCCCTCCTGTAATAAAGTTTGCACACCCCTGGACTACAGCATGATATTAAAATTAAAGCAAAGCAAGTAAGAATTACAGTATGCACTAAATCGCGACTATTGGGATTTACAGCGATCACTCTATGGCAGTGGTTCCCAAACTGGGGTCTGCGGACCTATTGGGGACCGTGAAGCACTTTTGGAGGGTCCGCGAAACAAATCTGTAATATGGCTATTAGCTTGATAATGCAAGAATTGAGTGCCTAAACAAATACACATTTGTCGCCTTTTGCAATCACCGCTAGAGACACTGATTCTTCACTTTATGTTTCGATCACGCTGCCCCATGTAATGTCACAGAGCTGTGGGCCTGTGATATCACAGAGAGAGTTCAATTCATGCCACCACAAGTATACTAACTGCAGTACTGTAGCTGACGCTGCTCTTTTACTAAATATCGAAACATACTGGATGTCACACTCACATTAGAGTTGCGCTTTATATTCTTTTGTTCGGTTCACTATACGGCGCGTTGATTTTTTTGTTGTGATCTTTTAATGTTTTGGTGCACAAGACCGGGAATCATTAAAAAAATTGCGAGGGGTACTTCATGGAATTTTTTTCAAAAAGTTTGGGAACCACTGCTCTATAGCAAAGCTGGTCTACTCGTTGATTGCCGCGTCTCGAGTAGTCGATATCATCTGATATTGGTTGAATTTAATGGGTGAATGGGTGGGCCAACTGGGAGAATTTAATAACATACGCGCCAAATACTGTGTGTCTTGCTGACAAAGGATGCTACAATACCTTCTGCAGTATGCAAAAAAATTGTAGTATGATGAATTTTATTCGCAAGTGGCATCAGAATGTCTATTTTTTTTTAATTCCAAGCGAGCAAAGTATTACTTTTGGAGGAAATTGTAAATTAGATACCAAAGTTTGAGCAGTCATGTAACATTTATGGTTTGAGAATATATATTTTTGCTGTTCAGATAATACATTATTACTTGGCAAAGTTTCATTAGGACTTTTCAACACTTACAACTAAAAAATTGGACCTCATATTTGAATTGTATGATATGAATAAATCTAAAACGAATGATGAAACATTTACTTAGGATACAATTACTTAATCAAATTAACAACTTTAATAAAAATACAAATTTTGAGTCTATTTTATTGGCTGCTTATTGGCAGCGATGGTAGCTTTTATGCGTGTGTGCGGTTATCTGCATATTCATTACCCATTGCCCACCCAATTTATCAGATCCCAGGTGATGATCATGAGATTCGAATCCGATATATAATAATCTGCGATGTCAACACAGTTAAGTCAAACACTTCAACGACCAGTCCATCACACCGGCCTGATAACTTAGTTAGAACTACAGGGTGTTAAAATAATAACGCAAAATTAACAGACGTTAAGATGAAATGTCACTTAAAACATTTTAACACCTTTTAAAACCATTAAATTTCAGTGAAATACAGTTTGAACCTTTCACGACTGACGATTTTTAACAGTTACTTTTTAACGTTGCCATGACAAAAAAGGTTACCTTAATTTTGCGTAGCTTTTTTAACACCCGTATATAAGTATTGAATGATATCATAACTATAACCTGAAAAATAAATTTTTCTACTTGGCTTTGAAAGAAAGCATCATTACATGGATTGATCAAGGATTTAATCCAGTAGCATGCTTATAGTTTTAAATTATTGAGTTTTATGAGCCTGTTATCTGTAAATTAAAAACATAACATTTTAATAGACTCTTTTTTTGCATAGTTATTAACAGTAAATTCAAATTGTTTTTAGTCGAAAACATTGGAGTTGAAGGGGATACAGTAAACCTCAACGAATGCAAAGTTACTTTTCCGGATGGAACATTCAATGAAACAACAAAGGTCTGGATGTCACTTGGATTGGACAATTCAATATGCCCAGCACAATACATCGCAATCACACCAGCTCTCGACATCAGTGCAGAATCAACATTACGCAAAAGCGCATTAGTACAAATGAAGACATGGCGTCTCGAGCTGAATAAAGAGAATGTTGACATACTTCGCTTTACTAATGACACTGACTGGAACATTATTAAACCTGATCTAGTCACGCATGACAGAACTATAGAATTTCGCTGTCAAGAGTTCAGTCGAGTACTTGCCGTTATCAACGCTATCAAACGATGGTTTTCTGGCCCCCCTCCTCCAGTTCTCAAAGAAAACTTTCTTTATATCATGGGTCACAATCAAATCTGCATCACATTTTTCAGTCTAAGTGAACTTGTAGAAAGAAGCATAATTACATATTACGAAAGCCGTGGTGCACAACCGGTACCAACAAGATCCAACCAAGTGATTTTAAGACATGGAGACAAAATTCATCTCAAACTGCGAATCGAAGGAGGGCCTGGAGACTGGCCTGGAGTTCAATGAACCTAATGGTCACAGATTTTCCGTAGATGATGATTTCTTAATGGCATCACGACATGACTTTGAATTTGAACTTCTCCCTAACTTGCAACAATATCCTCAAATTGTCATCAAATGTGAAATGGAGAAAAATGAAGATGAAATTAATAGAAAAGTTATAAAATTTACTTTCCCACTAAAACCTCCAGGTGAGTGGGAATGTAACTATTGTTTTGCTCTGAAGGATGCCCCGAGCAAGTTGGTTTCATTTCAAATTGAATAGTTTCGTCTGTTTGTTAAAATTTAGATTGAACAGAATGTACATTACATGATTGGCCAGTTATAAAATTCCCATCATTTGAATATGTAAAGTTAAAATTTATTACCCTAATTTTTGCATATTGAAGTTGTAAAGAATGTCTTATGTTAACTGCGCATTGTCTTGAGAACCTACTCACCACACTTCTATTGATATATTTTTATAAGTAAGTGGCATCCAATAAATCATGGTTACATTCATATATATTTTTATGAGACCATATATCTTTGGTTTGACACTAAGCCGAAGGTGATCATAAATATTTTCTGCATTTTTCATCTTTTTATACTTATATTTATAGAACGCAGAGAACCTCCACCTATCAACTTTGCTGGAGCAAATATTGGGAATCTGCATCTACCGGAAAGAGGAAATCAGAACAATCAGCAAATGGTGAGATTTGAGTAATATTTATTCTCAACTTTCTATAATGATTTTCAAAGTATTCATATGTATGTTTTCAATCATCTCCTACAAGATGTAATAGACAGTTACAGGCTCGGTTGTGTGGTGCATCGGGCTAAGCGATATGAATACACTTGGTACCACCCCTTTGATTACCCTGTAGGTTTGCAGGTTCGAATCCTGTGGGGGATAATTATGTGTGAGAGGATTGCTGGACTCTTCGGCGCTGTAGGGTGTTTCACGTAACTGCGTAACTGCTGGTCATTTATGGCTTCCTCCACCATCAAGTTCATGCAATTGAAAATATTGACTAACTAACCCCATACTCTACATTGTAATAAAGAATAATATGCTAGATAGTAAAATTGAAATTTTTTTAAGGGGCAAAATGAACAAGAAGAAGCTGGTGCAGTAGGTGGAAACCAAGCTATAGAATAAACCAATACAACATGAAGGTGATGACGGTACGTGAAATACCATTTACTAAAACAGCAAACTTGATTTCTTGTTTTTTATATTCTCGAAATAGTCATATTAGATCAGTGGTTCGCAACCTTTGATAATTAGAATGAAAATTGCCATCCAGTAGCAGAAAACAGCATCATCAATCATTGGTACTACAATCAAAATTATAGATAGTGATACAAATAAAACTAACATTTTTTAATGGTTCTGTGGCCCACCTCAAAATCTTTTCGTGGCGCAGCAGTGGGAAATGGCCCACTGGTTGAGAACCAGTGTATTGGATGGAACAATACCTCATTTTGTCTCCTATTTTTGCTATGTTCACTGTACAGTGAGTAATTGCCTTCGTTTTTTGAATGTGGTCTTTACATATCTGCGGACGATCAATTACCCTGAAATATTATTTTATTTGCAGGAATTCAACCAGGTTTTCCTCAAGTTCATTTTTAACAAACAATATTCAAGATTTGTAATTGTTGCTAATCTAATGCCTTATTCGAACATCACATAGAAAATTGTTATGATATTTCTCTACTGAGCACAATTTTTAGAGTCATCTAGATGAAAATTTTTTTTTTTTCAGATGCCGATGATCTTGAGAAGTCTCCCAAACTGACCACATTCTAAAGACATTGCTAAGATACAAATGTTCCATCAAATGTTACTGTTACGTCGTATATTTAACATTAAATTTCTCCAATAATCTCAGACTGAATGCTGAATGATCCTGTGGTATCCTGCAACACATTATGGACATGCATATGTAGTGAAGGGATCAAATATTAGAAATATTAACTCTTGAAGACTAGATAGTCTAGTCCAGTAATAGTAGGATTGAGCGAAAAATTTTATAATTTTTTTTTGTGTGAAATGCTGATTTTGCATAGGCTTGGATTGTGAAAACATAGTAATTGACTCTTAGTCATATGCACCACCCTTCAGCAACGATTTCGGCAATTTAGGTCATCCCTCACAAGATTTGACCTCTTGAACTGACCTCAAATCATTTTGTAAAATTCTGCACCAAATTCTGATTTGCATGTTTTGTCATACAAATTCTTGTCATTTCATACTTTTTTTATTATTTTTTCCTATTAGTTTTTAAAATTAGGTTGGGTGCTGCATTAATGCTTTAGCTTCTAATGTACTATTTTTAGTGAGCCATAACAAACTCACTTTAAGCTTTTCCAGATATCATGTGTATTGTTTTTATGTCGCCCTCATTCAGAAATTTTTGTGTAATTATAATTTTATGGTATGTCAACAACTTTCATTATTTAGGTCAGGTTTTGAGTTTTTTCTTATAATTGACAACTGCTGTACTTATTCTTGCTGTATATCAGTTTACTTTGCCACTCCACATTTTTGTTTGAATTTTAAAATATATAAAAATAATAAAAACTTGTGCAATGCCTATTACGAATTTCCATTTTTTTGTTTTGTGTGAGTCAGGTTTTTAAATTTTCATGTACTGCAATCCACTTTTCTTGTTCATCATTATTCTCTATAACTCCGTGTGTTTTTCTAAGTTTTAAAAAAGTAAAAAAAAGTGAACATAGTCAAAAAATAATGGAAAAAAAAATTTATATACTTCCCTAAATATGAAAAAGTAAAAAAAATTAAAAAAACAACAAAAAAAAAATTTTTTTTGTGTATCCCATAAATTTAAAAATATAAATGTGAAATATTTCATTAAAGAGCTTATAGCTTTATGATACAAAATGAAATGATAAACATAACACTTTGGCCTGCATAATCTAACAGGTCTTCTGTCAAAAATGCTTCGGTTTCCTTTTTATTCTATTTTGTATTTTGTTAATTGTTGTAGCATCTGTATAATAAATAATCAATGTGATAGAACCGGGCTCCATGCCCAAGAGCCTGATTGCCTACAACTAGAATTTTGCGAGTTACATGCTGTTCGGATCTCATGGAGTTCAATTTTGTGTGAGAGACTAGCAGATTTCAACTGGTAGGTTGGTTAAGGAAATCGACCCATATTTTACTAGCAACTATTCACCTGGGTTAGTGTTTGGACGGTAGGGCATCATTCATCATATAGCTAAAGCTAAGGAATTTTATTTTTATTCCTTCCTAATGAAGAGGAAAAATTAATCCAAAGCCAAGTACTTGAAATTGCCATTTTTCGATAACCTGAATGTTTATTACGACAAGACTTTAATGGTGATGCTGGCAGCCTTGGCTATCAGAAATCAGAGTATCAAAAAGTGAATGATGTCGAATGGACAAGCAGCGATGCATCTCCTAGAACAGTGATGTCAAACCTTTTTCAATGAATGGGTCAAAAATTATAATTTTATCGCGGACCAGAAGAGAGTGGGTCACAGATATTTAATTCACGTTTGTATCTATAAGAAACTTCTGAAACAAATCTTATAAGCTGGTGTTGGTGTAGTTTTGGTCTTTGCTAATGCAGCATTTCTATCAGGGACTTTTTATGGTTTTATGATATTACAGTACGAAAAAAACGCATATGAATTACCAAAAACGTTTAGGATGATGCGTTAAATTATTTTACGGTTCTAGTGTTTGGAGGTAATTCCGCTTTGATGGTGTTAAAATTTTGGATCAATTTCCAACCACATTAAGGCACTTTTACACTGCCCCATTGTTATATCAGATTTTTATTTCAAGTCTGAAGATTTTGTTTTCTCAGCGGCATTGTAGGCGAGAACTAATAAAATGCAAAGTAGCATCTAGTTCTCGTATAACCCCTAAAACAGTCTGCAGATGCACTTCCGAAAGAGACATGCGTTGCGAGAAATGAACAGATCAATTGTAATGTTATGTCATAAACGATGTCAGGCCCAATAGCTGAATAACGGTATACAACAGTGCATACATGCGTCCAAGATTAGGGGTTTTGAAAATTACCATACCGGCCCGAAAATCCACATTTTGAATCCCAGCCCTGACTGTCCAACTGACGGTACATTATAATAGTTTAGTTATTGTTAGATTAATTTATCGCCGGTTTTATCAATTTTTATCACTGATATGTTAGCATTTTTTTATTTTATTCGTGCCTTCGCTTGGCGAGTCACAAATAAAACGCGGTGGGTCACTTTGTGACCCGCGGGTCAGTGGTTCGCCATCCCTGTCCTAGAACTTTAGTTTTTGGCAGTTTGACACGTTGAAAATGGATGCGACTTTTGCGAGACGTCAACCACTATATGTAGCCCACCTGAAGAAGGAATAATGTAGCGGCAGATCTCACCCGTAAATGCGGTGGACTGCACTCTAAAGTCGCATGTGACAATGATTATTGCAGGATTTCCCAAACTGTATCGCGGCACACTAGTGGACCGCCAAAGTCTTGAAAGTGTGCCACACATTTTGATTTATTCACAATAATTAACGATGCAACATGAACTTTATTACATTGCAATCAGTAATGGATGTAGTTCGGTACCACACATATTATAGGGTGACCCAAAAAACAAAACCCAGTCCATTTGGAACATATTGTATGGATTCCGTTTTTTTGGGTCAACCTGAATAAAGATTTATTATTCAATGTTTTATTATATGTTCTCAATACGCCTCGTTGGGCATGGCCTACCGTTAAGCAGTAATCAATGATCAACTTTCATAATTGGATTTGGTGTAGAGGAAATCCAATAATCATATGGCTAACCATGGCCATAACCTATTACCAATCTATGTCAGATACTGGTTAGTTGGTCAGTTATTTTGTTTCAGATGCATGAACTTGGTGGTTATAGGATGGGATTTAGATATTTATCACGGGGTAGAGGAAAGCCGTTAAGACGAATTAATCATATTGCGAAAACACAGCCTCTCGTCCGGTTAACAGTCCATGATGCGGACTGGTATGGGAATGTTTGGCCAGTGGGCCCGTGGTATCTGATAGTTCAACACTTACCTTTTTTAATTGGACGTACATGTTTATCATGTGGAAAAAACTGATATAACAACTTGACCATATGGCTAACCACAAATCCATGTCAGATACAGGGTTAGTTAGCCAGTTATAGGACGGGATTTAAATATTTATCTTAGGAGAGAAGAAAACTGATAGGACAACTTATTCATATGGCTATCCACGTTCTCTCATCCGCTTACCAGTCCATGACAGGTATGAGAATAGTAAGCCAGTTATTTGTACTAAGCTCATGGACTTGTGGCATCTGATAGGTCAACACTTTGGGTGTCGCTGCTTGATAATCATTTTTGGTTCTCCGCGACTCCTCTTCCCCATATTCAATATGTGTATTGAATATTACTCTTAAACATTGTATATTATTTTTACTGGATGGGTAAAACAAACTTGACTATGCCATACCGCGACCGATTGGCCTGTTACCAATCCATGTCAGGTATGGGAATTGTATAAGTCAACCAGTTATTGGTTTCAAATGCAGAATAGAGCAGATGTGATTGAACGTGGAATACTACTTGAACTGGAAATTACGGGGGTTGACCATCACAGGCTGAAACTGATGCTGCTTCAATAATTTAGGCAGCATAGAAGAACCTGTAACCGAACAGCGGTTATTTAACCACTCTACAGTATAATCACGTTCCATTCAACCATTCTCAGATTATGTAGTTGTGATTACAACAAGTTCATACTCATAGGTTATCAATGCGACAAGAAGACCAGCTATGCGCGCTGGCTTCGGTGAGCAAAAGTTATCCAGGTATACACTAGGTAGCAATAGAGAACAAAAAATCGCTAACACGACCTTTAAACTATTTGTCAATGACTACAAGAACATTCTTCATAATTGTACCGTATACTGGGAATTTTTTGTGCAGTACATTACAAAATGTATTGTTGACCATTAGCAAGTGTCAATGTTGATAAACAAGTTAATAGTAAACACGACTCCAGATTATTCAGCCGCGTGGAGGCAACATGCAGCGTATCCATGACGACTAGATTTTAATTTCCGGTAAATAGCGGATTTTTTTTAATTTAATTGCTGGTATTATACCGTTATCGTCCCCGTTTTCTGATCTGTGTTCTTTGTTTCTGTTTACCTTAGGTTAGGCTATTGCACCACATTTCTGGTCAAAAATATCAAGTATTTTGTGGCGTCTAGAGCTGCCGCAAAACCATGGCGGGATTTCCAAACCATGGCCGCTAAGACCAAACCCTAACCTACAGACCTACGGCCACTGACTTTTTAGCTGTCACAAACCAATAGCGACCGGCGGTCGTTACGACAGAAAATCGAATACCACCGATTTTGCTGCCGTAACCACGGCATGTCGGCTGTAATAGTAGGGTCTAATGGTGATAAATATTGGGTAATTTGGAACGCCTTTCTTATGAATACAGTTTTGATGTTTTTGGGGTTAGGTCTAGGTTTAAGTAGATATAATTTCGCATGATAGACTAAAATATTGTACATGACTTTGTAAACATACCGGTAATACTGTAATAGCGCAATAAAACCATGGCAAGAGATGCGACTGTACGTTTGTGGCAGGAGCTGCCATGAAGTGGTAAGAAATGCGACTCCCCGTACCGGTACTAGAATTGTTGAGATACTTAGGATAGGTTAGGCATTTACGTATTTATGCCAGGGGAGAAGAAAGCCGATATACTGCTTAACCATATGGCGGACCACGACTTCTCATCCGTTTACCAGTCCATGTCGGATATGAGATTAGTTAGTCAATTATTCCGATTGCATGGACATGATGGTAGAGGTAACTGGCCAGCGGTTATGTGAACCACCCTACAGCGGCGAGGTGTCCTGCAGTCTTTTCAAACATAATTATCCTCCGCAGGATAATTATGCGAACTTATTGAAATTGTTTGCTGTTCATACTGACCTACTTCTTTTAAGGCAAAATACTGTCTCCAAATTTCTTCGAAGATGGACATATGCGAGAATTTGGTGCATATAGCAGCTGTGATATCATGGGTGTAAGATTAAGGGTTTTGATTCAAAAAAGGCAAGTTCCTAAAAATTGGCACACTTACCTTTTCTGTTCTGTGTGCTTTCCCTGATTAATATGACTATCAATATAAAATGTTATGCATATTTCTTTATTTAAACCAGAAAACAGTCAAGAACAGTATCATTTTCCAGTAAGATATGAACTTGTTGTGACCCTGCTGGTGGTCACGATATGCGCAAAAATCCATGGGCCACAGAGATCTTTTCCAATATTTTGAGCCTGGGACCAAGTTACCGACAACTTTTTCATTGTAATGTAAATTCATTTCGTTTGAAGCGTCAATCAACTGCAAAGGCATTAATATGATAAACCCGATGAAAAAAAACTTGATCAAAATGGTGATTCTACTTT